GTCGGTGCCTTTTCCAGGAGGTTTTGCCTTTGTGTGAACCCACAAAGTTGCTTTTGCACTGACCCACACAGGGCTCTGCGGGGGCTCCCCCCTGGGTCCGCACACTCCTGCCAGGACAGGCAGCATCACCCTGCACAACCCTGCCTGCCCGCGCCCTGCGCTGCCCCCGGCCCTGCCCGCACCCCAGCCCCCTGCTGAAGGGGGCTCCGTGCCCAAGCAGCAGCGCACAGGGCCTTGATCCCCCTAGGTTGGGCTGATGCTGGTGTGGCCCTTCCCAAACCAAACCCTTCGGAGCAGCCTGTGGATGAGCCCCCCTTTCAGTGGGACACAGGAGAGGGTGCTGGGGGCCCTGCCTGTGCCGCCTGTCCCCCCATGCCTGCATGCCCTCCTTGCACCAGCATTTCTGCGCCAGGCCGGAGCCGCCCTAAGACGCTGCAAGAGTTTGCGAGCAGCTCAGCTGGCTTTGGGGGTGGATGTGGTGGGACCCCGCTCAGGGACATGGTGGGAGCCCCAAGCCTGCTGCCGCCAGGCTTTGTTCTCTGAGCAGCGTGGCTGCAGCCCCTCCCCAGGCTCCACCTCCGCAGCCCACCCGAGACCCTCCTTCCGCTGCCTGTGCACAAGCTCCTCACATGGTGCGCAGAGCTGGTGGGCAAGAGCTGCTCTTGGCAAAGCATGGAGGCACCGTGGGTCGCAAGAAGCATCATCAGTAGGGATCAGAGGCAACAGGGCACCAACCAGAGGGGCTGAGCCTCCAGTGGGTGCAGGCCTTGCAGCAGCACAAGGGAGATGCATGGCACCACAGCTCTCCTCTGGCCCTGCTCCAGGGCCAGGTAACCTGGGGCTGAGCTGGCACAACCTGTTCCCAGGCCGTGCTACACCAGCAGGCTCCGTCCCGCACGGCTGCCTGCCCCTGCCCCTTCCCTGCCCTCCCCGCTCATGGGTTCCTGTCCTGGCTGAGCCAGGGCTGGCTTGGTCACTACTCACGTGGGACCGCGGTCACTTCACCTTCCCCTGCGCTTCCCCTGACCTTGGCAGCGCAACTGGGACACACACTCTGGCACTTACCCCATCCCAGGCAGGCACCGGCTGTTTCTGTCCCTTTTCGCAGCTGTGTCCTGCTGCTTCTCCGTGTGACCATCCCACCGCCTGCATCTGCCCCAGCCTGAGTGCCCAGCCCAGCCCCACCCTGCCCCCATCATTCCCACTTTCCCCTCCCTGTTTTTGATGGGGTTTTGCACCAGGGAGATGTGGCATTGGGGAGATGTGGCACTGCAGCTGCAGGCCAGCTCTAGGTGATGCTGGGAGGCATTTGGCTTCCCGCAGCCAGCTCCTGCCCCCAGCAGAACCTTCCAGCAGATTAGCAAGACAATTTTCCTTATGATTGCTCATCATGGTAAGAGCTGCAATTATTAATGACCGTTCCAGCTGCCAAAGCAGAGCAGGAGGAGCGGCTCTTCCCCACACCCGCTGCCCCTGAGCCTGTTCCAGCCGGAGGTGCCGGCGCAGCCTCGCACCCATCCTTCGGGACAGCAGCTGCATCGCATGAGCGAACACTTGGCTGCTCTACGCTGGAGTGCGCCCAGAGCTGGTGCACGTGGCCCACGCGTGCCCTGTGACTTCTTGTCCCCTGCGCAGGATCTGGGGCCAAGGCACAGCAGGGACCCCCTGCAGGGTCTGACACCCATTTCCCCTTGCTGCAGCTTCTTTGCCCCCCAGATTAATTACCACCTCCGTTAGCAGTCCTGCCTGCTACGAAGAGAGGGATGAGCCAGGTGACATAAGTCCAGCCCAGGCTGACGCAGGCAGAGGAGGAGAACTTCGAGGTGAAGATTCTCCCCAGGAAGCTGGAAGGAGCTGAGTCAGGCCCCAGAGGGGAGCAGGGTGAAGGCTGACCGTGACCTTCCCAGCCAGCCACACCTCGCTCGGAGAAACCGCAGGCCTCGAGACAGCCAGCACTTGCAGAGAAGTGTTTATTAAAGGCACTAAAAGCACCATGGCTACATCAGCAGCAGCCCAGCTGGAGAGTGTGGGTTTGGGAGAGGCATTTACAGGCCCAGGACAGCGGTGGCAGAGCTCTCTTTGGTAGGAAGCTATGCCCGAGCCTCGCGGGAGCCCGCCGGCTGGCTGACCACCAGCCCACACTGCCAGCCCATGGCTGGGGTGGGCTTGGCACACTGCTCTGCTCCCCGGCACGGCTGGGCTCCAGCTGGGTGGGGGGGACACGAGGCACAGACCACGCTCGCCGGCATGCAGCCAGGATAGGAAGCCACCGCAGCAGTTTGCAGGGCAGCTGGGGGGGGTTAACACAGCCAGGGCCCCTGCAGGGGAGCAGGGCCGGGTCTCCAGCCCCACACACTAAGCACACAGCAGGGAAGGTGGGGGAGATCGTGGCAGGGGGCTGGTCCTCACCACCTCAGGGATGTGCTAGGAGCATCCCTGCCCTGGTGCTGAGCTGCCAGGCAGCCGGGCCCCAGCCAAGCAAGGGAGCAGCCCGGCTGAGCCAGACCCTCCCTGACTCCAGCCTCGGCACAGCCATGGCCACCACGCTGTGTGGCTTGCGGACAGGAGACTCATGCAGCGTCCCCTTCCTGGGGCTGCTAGGGCCAGTCAGGGGGCACAGAAGAGGCCACCCAGCTCTAAGGGACTCTGGATCCAGCCCTGCCTCTGGCTGGAGCCAGGCCAGGAGCTGCCAGGAAAGAGGCAGGAGCAGGGGAAGGGGTGAGGGCCCAGCCTGGCTCCCTGGGGGCAGTGGGGGTGGGGAGGGGGGAGAGGAACATGCAGGGCCAGGGACACGCGTGGGCGCAGCTGAACTCCGGCCCCTCACACGTGGGAGAAAGCGTGGCTCTTGCAGAGCGGCTTGTCCTTCTTGGAGTAGAACGTCTTCCCTTCCAGGTTGGTCTGGCAGATCTGGGGAGGAGACCACAGGAGGTCAGGTCAGAGGGGCTGAGCCAGCCCCAGGGCTCAGCACTGGTGTCACACAGATGCCAAGGAGCAGGGAGCTCAGAGCAGGGTCCCGAGCCACCAGCACAGAGCCAAGCAGGGAAAAACCTCACGGCAGGAAGGATCCCACGCTGCTGGTGTACCCCACACAGGGCATGACTGCCAGGGAGAGTCCCAGCCCCACCAGCAGCCGGGGAGAGAGACACGTTGCTCACCGCACAGACGAAGCAAGTGTCATGCCAGCTGAAGCCCAGCGCCTCCAGAAACCGGTCCCCAGCGTCGATCTTGAAGTCACAGCCACGGCACTTGGTGCCAAACATCTTCTCGTAGTCTACGAGGAGAGGCAGAGCCCAGGTCAGCATTCCCCTGCACCACAGCCCCTTGTCCCAGGGCAGCAGGGCTGCGGCACGGGAGGGATCTCACAGGCACAGCCTGGGGACGACTCACCGCCAGCCCCGGGGGGATGATACCCGAGATACCTGGGCGAGATGCCGGTGCCATGCAGGGTGGCTCTGGCCACCACCGGGCCGCAGGGAGGAGGTGACAAACCTCATCTCCCAGGATGCAGCACTCGCCTTTGATGTACATCCTCCGTCATTGCCATGGCAACACGGGAGTGATGGCGCTCCCCAGCAGCCAGGAGGACTGGGATGGAGGGCTCAGGGCTGTGGGAGGGGTGTCCCTGTGTTCCCCATGGTGCAGGGGGAGTCCTGCAGTGCAGGGCAGCTCACCCCCCCATCCCTGTGGGCACGTGCTGAGCCCCGATGGTGGTGCCCGGTACCCCAGGGCCATGTGGGGTGACACATGGGGTCCCCAGGTCCTACCTCTCTCGCAGTAGGGCTGTCCCTCCTCCATGTAGAAGGCACGGTTGCGGATGGGAGTTTTGCAGGCAGCGCACGTGAAGCACTGCACGTGCCAGGTCATCTTCAGTGCGTGCATGACCTCCTGGAGTGGAACCACTGTCAGCCAGGGGCAGGACACCCTGCGCTATAAGGGAGCACCACCCAAGGCAGGAAGGGACAAGGGGTCCCATGGGATGGGACAGGAAAGAGCCAGGCACCCATAGGTGAGCAGGGAGAAAGGACAGAAGGTGTGGGGCAGGCTGAGTGACACTCACCCCAGTGATCTTCTTCTTGCACTTGGCGCAGCTGGGAGCGTAGCGCGTATCGTAGCACTTGGGGCAGAAGATGGAGCCTTTCTCCTCAAAGAAGCCACCCTCATCCAGCACCTTCCTGCACTGGCAGCAGGTGAACTCCTCGGGGTGGTAATAATGTCCCAGCGCCACCAGGTAACGTCCCCTGTGGCAGGACAGAGCCATGTCAGCCACGCCAGGGCCCAGGACCCTGGCGTGGTGGCGGTGGTGACCAGGGCTCACCTGATGACCTTGTTGCACTTGTAGCAGAGGGGCGTGCGGCCAGGCCCTTCAGGGGCTTGCTGGGCCGCCTGCACGATGGAGCTGCGGTTCTGCATGGGGGTTGGCGTGGCCGGCTGGCTGTGCTTGCTCACCACCGTGCTTGTCTTGTCCGGGGCATAGCGCTCGGCAAACGAGGGGTCCACAGCCCAGGGTGGGCGGCTGGCAGGGCCGGGGGTGGTGGTGGGGGTCCTGGGGGCTACACACA